AAATGGAAGAGAAATGCGGCTGTTGAGGGATAACATATAGAGCTTCGAATTTGATTATTTAAGACGTCATCAGATGGTAAGAGTAAATTAATCGTGAAACGAAAGATTGTTTGTTTTTTGTGAGTTACTGTTGGATACTGTTAGTGTCTCAGGCTGCATAGCGTCGAGTGACAGGGGCACTGGTAGCTAGGAATTGGAATTGATTTGAAGCCAAGCAGTCTTGGTCTTATCGAGACACTATCGCGGCAGTGGCCTGGAGGGACTGAGGAAAATCGCAAAAGACCTCAGTGAGGATTGCCAGGATCCTGGCCGAGATTCGAACCGAGCACATCCCGCATACAAGCGGCTGAAGGTCTGTAGCATTATCGCTATTCGAAGTTGCTTTGTGAACTGAAATATTACGAGACGAAGTGAATGTTGTTTAATCAGGGATAAGAAACCTAGAATGTTGTCATGGAGGAAAGGTTACTGAAATTTGTTGCACTCATGGGTGCCACCAGAATCACTTATGGGGGGGATACCTAGAACATTTTCTGACGAGTATACGTATAAGCCTTTGTGGATTATTTTAAGAATTATCATTTTTATTTAGGTTAGAGGAATAAAACTTTGTAGAAAATGATTTTAATCTTCGGTATTAATATTTCATACTCCGTGGCTTTAGTCCGCAAACGAACTATACCTACCGACGGAGAATCGCTTCTGTGACAACTTTAGCGGATAGAGGGTGTTGCGTGGTCAGCGCAACGAATCCCCACGGCCGTTAATTTCGGTTTTCTAGACCGGAGCCGCCACTTTTCCATTCAGTTGGCTCCTCAGTTATCCTCCGAGGCTGAGTGGATCCCGTTTCAGGCCCACTGCTTCTCAGAAAATCTGGTAGCGCCGGGAATCTAACCCGGGACCTCTGGATCTGTAGCCAGCTCTGACCACTAGACCACAGAGGCGGTCTATTAATATTTGACACAGTTCTATTTTTACAATTTTGATATTTTTAACATCCAAGGGGTGCTACAGATGCCTGCAGTTCTACTGCCGACGTCCGTGGTTGCACTGGTCACCGGAGGGAGGAAGGAGGAAGGCGAAGGGGCACTCTGTGAAAGTGGGATGGAAGATCAGTGTTTGAAAAACTGAGAATGGAAGAACAGATTGCTAAGGAAAGTGAAAACGCAAACACATTGGAAAAGATGAGCACAGTATTGAAAGAAAGTGCGTAGAAGAAGAGGGTTAAAAATAAAATGTAAGAGGCCGTAGAGGCCCAAATGGATGCGAGACGTCGAGGCTCCCAAATTTTGTAGACAGTAGGCTCACAGCAGGCGGTGAGGTTGTCAGCCTTACGCGCCGACCGCCCTTTACACCAAGGTAGATTCCTAGTACTCATTCATGTTATAGGCTGTATCGACCCCATGGTCAAAGTGCGGCTGAAAGAATTGGGTAAATTGAAAAAATCCGACATATTCTGGAATCGAACCCGCGACCTTCCGGCTTGTAGCATGAGGGAGGACAGAAGGGCGATACATTTCCACCCCTAAGAACAACATTCAGTTTGCAAGCAATTCTGTACTCACATCACCGCCTTTCGATCGTCAGAAGAGGCGTCTGGTTAGTTGTGATGCCTTCAGTTAAATTTTGACACATCTGACAGTAAACGAGTGATACTCTGAATTACGGTACTCATTGAAGTTCAAAACACAACCACATGGGGGCTTTGAAGTCGATTTGACCTTTTCAAGCACGTTGATTACTGAATATTCCATCTGATTTCACATCCAGAAAATCTGCCCCCTCCCCCACAGACTGTATTTATGTGTGTCGTAATGTACTCATTATAAGGGGTCATCATCTGTAATGATTAGTGTAAGAGGTGCCGTGTTTGCTGTTCCCATGGAAACCTAGTTAGAAATGGCAATTATCTGATTTTCTCGTTTAATTATCAATCCCATTTTACTGGTCTCCCTAAACACCATTGCCACCATTGCCAGCTTGATCTTTGAAATAGAAATGCTTTATTATCTGTGAGATAGGAACTGAAGTCCATACAGGATGTTCCAGGAGGAATTGTAAATATTCTGGGAGGTAATAGTATCGGCGATTGTATGCAGAAAGTGTGTATATACATGTGTCCTGTTCTGAAAGTTTTCCGAGATAGAGCTATTTCACTGTACAGTTCCCTGTACACTGTACAGACGAGCAGCACACGAGCTGCAAAATGCATTGATGTGGACAGTGGAATTTTCGAAAATGTATTGTGCTAGGTCGGTAGCCGAGCGGTCTAAGGCATGCACTCTCTTTGCTCGCTCGGAAGCCGGGATCGTGGGTTCGAATCCCACTCAGGGCATGGATATTTGTGCGCGTTTTTCTGTGTTTGTCTACAGGTAGAGGCCTTGCGACGAGCTGATCACTCGCCCAAGGAGTCCTATAGAATGTGTAAGATCTAGTAAACCGAAGTGAAACGGAGAGTTTCATGGAGGTAGGCCTAGGCCCAAATTGGGGCTGCAGCGCCACAGAAAAAAAAATTGTACTAGGTGAACTTTACCAACTTTGTCACTTGAACAATGAATACCGGTATTAGAAACAGCACATAATATAATGTACAGTGAAATAGCTTTCTCTCTCTCTCGGAAACCGTTTGGAATAGGACATTTGTTCATATACACTTTTTTTTTCTTTGCTTAGAATGTCCGATACTGTGACCTCCCAGAATACTGGCCTTTGTTCCTGGAACATTTCATATAGTGTTTAGCTTGAACTTCAGGCTTCAGACAGTTATCACTCGTTTACTGTCATATGGGGATTTATTAACAGACTGAATTCGTTTTGACAGAAGGGCGTTCACCCGCCAAGTTTTATTTCCTTACATCGCTGTTAGCTTTATGTAAACAATAAAGCAAAAAATAAAATAATTTGAAGAGTTTTGGGATATACCGTCATGTAGTCCGGTGAAAGCCAATCAATTTTTCCGAGGAATATATCGCTTCCATCTTCAAGGTCAGCTCTGCTTGCTGCCTGCTTCATGTTGGTTTTTTACATGCCTTACTCTTCCACATTGAAGATGGAGGCGACATGTTACTCCGAAACGGTAATTGACATTCACGGACCACACAGCCTTGTATCCCAGAAGGTAGAAGTCTTTATAGCCATAGCTACGGGAACCTCAGTTCCGATAATAAGATAAATTATTTGTAGCAATGGCAAAACTGAGATATTATGTTATTTCATTGTGCATACTGAGACTCATAGACGTTTGTAAGATTTGAGGTTTCCACGGCGGTGACTGTGAAGAAAGCAGTCTTCTGGGATTTGGCACCGCGTATATGCGGTGTTAACCGATGTTTCGGAGGAACCTATCGCCTCCATCTTCAGGGTAGAAGGAAAATATAAGCAATCCGCAGACGAAGAGACCGTGAGAACCGGTACCGCCTGCGGATTTCTTATTTTTTCCTTCTACGCCGAAGATGGAGGCGATAGGTTCCTCCGAAACGTCGGTTAACACCACATATACACGGTGCCAAATCCCAGAAGACTTCTTTCTTCATAGACGTTTCTTTGTCGGCTTATTTAACGAATTTACTCAACTGCTTGGTTTATATAGCGCTAAATGGAAAGATGCTTATGAAACAGAGACTCTGATAGAAGTGGTCGTGGTATATTAAAACATTATGCAAGAATGGCGACGCAACAACGATACGAAGCGTGTGCTTCGAGATTTGTACTCGGGAAACTCGAGTCCCCACTACATCGATATGTGATATGTAAAAGGCACTCAAAATTAATTACAAACACGAATTCTGCAACATTTTGTAATTTTAAAATTTATTCGTGTTAAGACTGTGGTATTTTATGTTGTGACACCGCGTAGTCTTGTGGAGGGATAATCTGCCTCCATCTTCAGAGTTGAAGTATACGTCCTGAGGGCTGGCGTCGGTTATACAGGCCAGGTGTAACGGGAGTGGTCATTAGGCTCGTGGAAACAGTGTAAAGAGAGGCGATTAGTCCTAGCCAGTGTGAAGAAATGCAAAAAATTGGTTCTTATAAGGTCACATCGGTTCATTTCTACAGGTGGGTACACAAGTCTACACGGTGGCATAACCCGGAAGGGCATATTCTTCAAAATCGCAGCCGTGAACACCCCGAAGAAAGAAAGGTTTTCTCTTGCTAACACGGGTATCAAAAAAGTCAGGCAGTTTCTTGACCAGCTGAGCGACTATCGCATCCTAAAATTCTCTGCTGTCCACGAATAAGTTGGTTGATTTTTTCCGTAAATATAAGGACATCGTATAGGAAATATGTTGGAAGCATCTCGGAAAAAAGATCTATGTTTTTGTACAGCCCTGCTTTTACTTGGGTGCAATATTTAGTTCATAATTTATTCTCGGTCCGAAGGCAATCTATCTTGAAAATGGGTTTCATGGGATTCCTCAGTTCCTCCAAGGAAAGTGTTACCAAGGTAGTTCTAGTTAATTAACTCCGTGGGAAAAAGTCGTCGTTGAGAACCTGCTATTAAGCTAGTCAAGATATTCACCGTCTCTTATGGGACTCGTTCATCGCAGTGTTCAGAAGATGCCGCCACTGGCCCGTGTCCTGAACCAGAGGACTCCCTTCCATAGCAGGACACAATAATCATAATATTAAATCGGATATTTAAATCGTTTTAATATTACCATCCCAGCTTCTCCTAGATCTTCCAACTTGCCTCTTCAGCATTTCAACCACGATATTCTATGAATGTTTATACCTTATGTGTGCTACGTTCCCATTATATCTCATTCTTGCTTCGATAATCCTAATAATGTCTTACAAAATGCCGATAATTTATGTATATAAACCATAAAATATATCGCAAAATTTTTAATCTATATTCTTCATAAGTCATCCTTCGTTTCATTGCTTTATATCCGATACAGTTGAGAAATTTTCGTTAAATCTACAAAGAACCTAAAAGATAACTTAGATATCATCTTATGACATTAATCTCTGTTACCATAGTAGCCTGTGGTACTCACCTAGGAACCGTTTCTCTGGCGCGGATGCCCCAGAGAGCAGCTCGGCAAAATCTTCATAGTCGAATAGGTCAGAGTTCTGCATGACCGGCATCGGGAACTCGTCAGAAGAGGGCGCAGGCAGCAGGAACGCCTGCCGTTTGGTCCTCTTCCCCCACTCACCCTGGATATGGTTTTCCTCGTGCAGGGATCTCTTGGCCCTGCTGCTGGTTTCTACTTGCTGTGTGCTGTTATATGCAACACCGTCGCTGCCGGAAGATCGACTCGACTTCTTGTGTATCTGGAAAGAGCCCTTCGCGGCCAGAGAACCGATATGTCGCTTGTCTTCCTCAGGGTCGTCGTTGGAAGCTGAGACTCCAACAGGAAGGCCGTCTTGTCGTAGCAGATTTGCTACGTACTGTTTGGCCATGTCTTCTGCGTCTCCTTCCTCGTCGTCGAGGCGCTTCCCGTACTTGAGATGCTCCGGAAAGTGCCAGTTCCTAGCCATTGCCCCAATGTTCCTCTTGGCCTCTCCATCACTTTCAAAATAATCCTTTTTGGACGCCCCAAAACGTGAGCCCTGATTCCTCACGATAGAGCCAATATATCGTTTTCCTTCTCGTAACGGACTGATCCGGTTTCGAATCAAGGAAGTCACACTGCGTTTATCGCCGTCTAAGCTTTCGTCATCGTCATTCTTCTTGGCTGCACCCCCAAATCTGAAGCCCCCGGCCCGAGCGATGGATCCCAGGTTCCGCTTGCCTCCATAATACGGGAAGTTAAACCCCCTGGCCAACGAACCTATGTTCCGCTTGCTGATCTCCTGGCCCTCCTCGTACAGTTCCTGGATAAGTTCGTCTACATCATCGCCAAGTCTCTTTTGGTGCAGATGGCCATTCACGTCCAACGCGTCTTCCCTTTCATTCAGTCCATGGGCGCCCAGTAAGCCGTTCTTAGCCATAGCTGCGATATTTCTTTTTCCCACCAACTCTTCACTGCTCTCATTGCTGTCGTGCGGATATTCCTCTGATTCGTGAAGGGTTCTGGGCACTGGTAGGTACCCAGCGCGGGCGAGTGCTTCAACACTTCTCTTCCCTTCCTTAAAAGGCAAGTTTCCACTTTTGGCAAGTGACGCAAAATTCCGTTTCTCTTCTTCGGTTTCTTCTTCTTGTAGCTGGTTGTCGAGTTCCTCCTCCTTCTCTCTTAGCAGCTCTTGCTTCAGTGTCCTAAGCTGGAGTCGCCACAAGTCCTCAGTCTCCAGTATGCTCTGCAGAATGTTGTCGGCCTGGGTCGCGTCCTCGTCGCTCTCGGATCTCTTGCCCTCTGCGCGGCTGAAGGGGAGTGCCCCGCTCCTGGCCACTGAGCCCAGATACCGCTTGCCGGCGGGCAGGAACACGTCTCCGAGGTTCCTGCCGCCCGCCATCATGGGGTGCATCTTCTTGTTCAGCACTTCGCGCACGTAGAGTGGCAGATCCCCGTTCTTCGCGAGGGAGGCGTAGGAACGCTTACCTTGGAAGGGCAGCTGCCCCGTGCGGGCCAGCGCTCCCACGTGGCGTTTCTCCACTTTGTGTTCGGTTCCCTGGATCTCCTCTGACACGACCTGCGAGCAGACACCACACCGCGTTAGTAATGCGGGGGAGGGGAGAAGAAACAGTCTCACTGACTGACTTACAAACCAACGTTTTCGTTACAAAACCCACTGTTGGTCACATTCTCAGTCCTCTCGAATTTGATTCCCGACCTCACAACCAATTCTACAGAAACAGTCTTTAAATTGATGTTCATATCTGCTTATGGTAGGTTTTCATGAGAGTTTCCCCACCAACATAATGATGCATTTCTTGTTTCCCATCCGAAATACACGTCTCACAGGTTCGCGTAAGCACGGAGTATCTCGCCAAGTTGCATTCGGGAGGTGTCTGATTCCAACTGGACCCTGCCTTGCTACAAACCAGAAGGTCGAGTGTTCTATTCCCGATGAAGTCATCGGGTATTTTAATTTACCCAATCTTTCCAGCCGCACTATGGCCCTGGGGTCGACTCAGCCTCTAACGGAAATGAGTACCAGGAATCTTCCTGGGGGGTAAAGGGCGGCCGGCGCCTAAGACTGACAACCTCACTGCCATCTGTGAGCAGATTTTCTTGAGAAAATGTGGGAGCCTCGACGTCTCAAAACCCTATGGGCCTTCAAGGCCTGTTGCTGCCTTAAATTAGGAACCATCTAGATCCTTCCAAACGCGTTTCAATTCTTTGTTTGATGTAAGAACCATTCAACATTACATAGCCTGAGCTGCTTGGAGTGTCGTTATGTAAACTGTAAGTAAATAAATAAATGAAACACAAAGTTTCACGTTGTGTAATATTCTCTGTTCCTCTCTTATCTCTTCTTGTTTATTTATGGTTCATAAATGGCGCTTTCAGTAGTTCAGACCGTAGAAGTCGAGTAGAACAGGGATTAGTAACTTGGGTAATATCCTGGAAGTAGCCTGAAGGGGCCGAGGAAAACCACGAACTGCCTCAGTCGGATGGCTGGCATTCCGAACGGTGACCCCCCTTTGTACAAGCCAGAACTTATGACTTGAGCCAACTTGCTACATCGCGTCTCCTAATACCAGGTTCAAACTCAAGCAATTACCACTGCTCGTGCCACATTAGACAGTAATTTAAAATCAATAACGAATTTGTTCAGATGATTAGGAATCGTAACCAGTACACGAAGGCAGTGGTTTAGGACGCGATCCCTGGGGTCGACGTGACGTATCTGCTGCCATGCTGCCATGAACTGTCTGTCGGTTTAGTGCTAAATGCTGGGCCTCAGAGCACCACATGTCGATATGTCAATTGATGGAGATCTGCCCAGCGATTCGCCTCTCCTCACCGGCATTTGGAAAATGGGAAGCTGAAAGTAGGCTGGGTTTGAGGTTATCACGACGGTGAATATGAAGAGTACAGTCTTGTGGGTTTAGAGAAACATATCGCCTCCATCGTCAGAGTCGAAAATTAAGCCCAAAACAAATAAACGTTCCCGAAGATGGACGCGATATCTTACTCAGAAACGTCGGGCTATCTCTAAACTAAACAACCCTGATGTACATTTTTTCATAGGATAAGATTAGATATTAAGAATGATTATAAACAAGAACGGAAGTTGTATATTCCATTTCTGAATATGCCTACACAAGATTAGTGATGTTTGGGATGCCGTAAATTCTATTTATTTATGGTTTTATTTTCCGACGCAGTCAATAGCTCGCATGGGTGTGAAACTTTGTCTCTGATATTAAGGAACATAGACTGAGGGTGTTTGAGAACAGGGTGTTGAAAATTTTGGACCAAAGAGAGACGAAGTGAGAGGAGGTTGGAGAAAACTGCACAATGAGGAGCTTCATAACTTGTACTCTTCTCCAAGTATAATTGGAATGATCAAGTCAAGGAGGATGAGGTGGGCAGGGCATGTAGCACGGATGGGGATGAGAGGAATGTATATATGATATTGGTGGGAAAGCCAGAAGGAAAGAGACCACTAGGAAGACCAAGACGTACACGTAGGTTGATGAACAATATAAGAATGGGATGGGATGGATTGGATTGATGTGACTCAGGATAGGGATTCCTTCGGATTCCATAAAATGCTGGAAAGTTCTGGAATAGCTACACAACTGGCAGCTTCTCAAAAAGGGCTCTTCTCCATGAAGTTAGTTAGTCATTAGCTCAGGCTATATACCATCGAATGGTAGAATGATTAATAAATGATATATTGGGACGGGTTTTTATAGTAATCTGTCGTGGCCTATTTCAGGGTACAATCCCAGAATTTGCCCTGATGAATTGAGGAAAACCTTAGACAATTCGGTGTTTCCAGATGACAAGCCGGAAACAATAGCACTTGAACCAATTTGCTGGGTGCCTTCAGGTTTCGTTTATTGCAGGTGAATACCGATTATTCTCAGACTGAAATGAGTAATTACTCTCCACACTCACTTCCGTATTTAATGCAACTCTGTTCAAAATTTCTTCTTAGTTTTTAAAATGACATTAAAATCACAATCAACTGCTACACGTCTTGGCCTTAATTGGCCATCCTCAGACAACTGTTCACTTTTCGAAATCGCCATCCTGCACCAGTTCTTAAGTCGAAATATTTCAGTGTTACTGAATTTTCNAACTGAATAGGTGCTTTCCTTCACCTGAGGATGGAAACAGATCCAGTTTCCGAAACGTCGTGTTTTTTATTTGTTATCTTAAAAACCAGGACGATGGATAAAGTCCAAAATCCCAACATATCAGTGTGTTATACACCATCGTCAGAATCCTATAGTAATAACTCTTTATCCTTTCCAGCACTACTTTCCTCTTTCGGAGTCCGTGTTTTCTGCAATATGTAATATATATTTAATTGTTCGATACTGGTCCATGCTTGTTGCCATGTGTTTGCGTTGTGTATGTGGAGGGGGTAAAGTTGTGGTTTCTTTTTGTATAAGAATTTTATTTCATTCCCCCTGCGTAATGTTTGAGCTTGTGTTCGTGTTTTCTTGCATTGAAGACGGAATATAAGGCGTAGAGTGATATGTAAATGCAACATCATGTTGACATGCAATTTTATGAAATTAGTAACGACAACCGCAACAGTTTGCCATAGCTGCTGTGGTCACAACCACTGCCCGTCAGGATTTCCCACCTGCTCCAGCATCTCAGAATAACTCCCATAAACGTCTCGTATCCAGGAATGCGATAGGTCTCATACTTGTCAAACTATGTGATGTATGATGCTTCCATCTATCGGTGTTCTAGTGCTCTGTGTCTTGCCAAAACAACGCGATCGTGTTTTGTTAGCCAGCAGCTCCATATAATATTGACTTTGCTGCCTTTTGTTTCACGAACGTCGTCTCTGGTAAGTGCGAGTTACTTCGCGACGCTATGCGGCGTCGTGTGCTGTGATGATTCATGAACTGGAAAATATTTGAAAAGAGGCGGTTTGTTGCCTGATCGAGGTACTGGCTAGGAATGTGCCTGGAGAGACTGAGGAAAGCCACAAAAACCTTACGATATACGGGTCTCAAATCGAAAACTTCCAGGGTAGGAGCCTAGAGCGTAACCGCTGTGCTAACCTGCTCAATTCTGTTGTTGTGTCTACCGGTGTAACGCAAGTAACTAGCTGAGGCTTGTCGCGGAGAATTGTGACACGACATTTGAGGTTTTCTCAGCGGTGGTTACGATAATTATGTTTTTCTCGTTTGTGACACACTTTATTAGCATAATTTCCTGTTTTTGAAAAAAAAAAGGAGGCTTATGAGATCATCTTGCTGTCTGTGTATCCGCGCATGTCTCTGTATATGTTCTTATGTGTCTATCCATCTTAATTTTTTAGTGCTATGAGGCTTATATGATCACCTTGCTGTCTGTACGTCTGTTTCCCTCCCCTATTTCTATTTGTTTTTATCCCATCTTTTGTTGTATGAAAGGAAAATATGAAAATTTGTTCTTCCGAGAACTTCTTGTATTATTTTATTTATTTAAAGGCGTTGTCATCATCTCAGTGACTAGTGAATTGGAGGGGGTGTAGTCAGAAGTGGTCGTTCCTTACCCGATATACAGGGTTAGCCTAAAAGAAATATATACTACCAAAGTTTTACAGAAAGAAGAGTTTCAATAAAATGGCCGAGATACTTAAATGGTCTGAAAAGTACGCCCTGAAGTTTACATGGGTACGCCTTTTTACGGGATACAGGACAAAAAACGTGCACTTGAGGTGAATCCCTCACGCGCTCTACTACAGCTCTCGGGTTTTCAGTTCCCCATATACGAACGTCGTGTTTGTTCACCGTACCGCTAATGTGGAACTTTGATTCGTCACCGAAAACTGCCGGTTAAAGAAATCATTACTTCCTTCATTCCCTTGCTGCATGTCCATACAGAATGAGTGACGGATTTGTCGTTTTCAGTGAGGTTCTGCAATAATTGCAACCGGTAAGGCAACATTCGTAAACGTTTCCCCCCACAGTCTTTTGTGGAACTTGAAGTTCTAAACTTGCACGTGTTGTAGACTTTCTTGGGCTGCGCGTGTAAGTTTCACGAACAGTCTGTTTCTTTTGGGCTAACCCTGTATAGTGCCGAAATTTGCCTGGAGGGACTGGGACAAATTCGAAACCCCTGTGAGGATAGCCAGCGTTTCGGAGGTCGAATATTAATGATGTAGTTTCCACTACACCGTAGAGAAGCTGCTCTATAAATAAAAATATTCCATAAGATGCCAAGAGCCTTAGAGAGGAAGATGTCTGGATGCAACAGTTTTAATTCTTGTAGCCACGGTACCGAGAGCTTCCTATGAATGTGCGTTGCTCGAACTAGCAGAGGTTATTTATCGTGGTACGAGATTTCACATACCTTGCAAGCTGAGACTAGTGTAACCCGTCGAGAATTCAGCGGGACGTTTCATTATCTGTTATATAAGCTTTCGTACTATTGCCTTCCCCTGTTTTCTCCTATATTATTTTCCAGTCCTACACTTTATCGAATGATACATCGAGATCGACGTTTAACTCAATCTCCCACGAACATCACGCACAAATAATCGATTATAACCCGTCTTCTTTATGTTGT